GGAGTCTGTCTGCGAGTGGAAGGTTCTTTCTGCGAGTGTGTCTGCCACCACAGCGCTGACACTGCAACCCACCGCATCATCTTCCCCCTCTCATGCACCTCCTCCTCCTCCTCCTCCTCCTCCTCCTCCTCCTCCTCCTCCTCCTCCTCGGACCCCATATGGGCGGCCCAGAGCTAAGGGGCCTCTCGTGACCCCTCCGGGGTTCCCCCAGCAGACGGTCAGAACGCTGCTCGGGACAGGGAGCCTTCGGGGATCTACCGATCTCCCGACCAGGGGCAGACCAGACCCGGGTCAGCCAGGCTCTGCAGAAGCCTGCAAGATCCTGCGGGATCCTGCGAGATCCTGCACCCAAGCCCAGGTCCATGTGCCCCTGGACCTCCAGGATCCTGCAGGACCTGGCGCCCTGGCTGACCCCCGTTTGCACTGACCCCCCGCCTCTGGAAGAAGGAAAAACGAAATAAACATGAACTTTTGGCGCTCCGCGCGGACTTCTTGGATCTGCGCTGGACCCCCCTCCCTGGGAGCGCGCCAGGGGCGGCGCCGGAGGCGCCGCGAGGCGGGCCCAAACGCCGATCCAAGAGGTCCGCGCGGAACGCCAAAGAGTTTGTGCTTACGTCGTGTTGTCTTCTGCGAGCCCCTTGAGCCCTGACAGGGTCCTCCCGTGACCCTTCCGGGGTTCCAAGGCAGGCAGAACGCTGCTCGAGGACAGAGAGTCAGGCTGGTCCCGCGGGATGCCCCCGGGGTCCAAGGCATGGCTCTCCCATCGGGTGGGCAGCCGCCAGCGGGGTGGCGCAAACCGCGCGCGGAGAGGAGGAGGAGGAGGAGGAGGAGGAGGAGGAGGAGGAGGAGGAGGAGGAGGAGGGAGGAGAGGAGGAGGAGGGGAGGGGAGGAGGAGGAGGAGGAGGAGGAGGAGGAGGAGGAGGAGGAGGAGGAGGAGGAGGAGGAGGAGGAGGAGGAGGAGGAGGAGGAGGAGGAGGAGGAGGAGGGAGGAGGGAGGAGGGAGGAGGAGGAGGAGGAGGAGGAGGAGGAGGAGGAGGAGGAGGAGGAGGAGGAGGAGGAGGAGGGGGCGATGACGTCGAGGACTGGGGGAGAGGGGGGCAGCTCCGCCGCGGGCCCGCCCAGAGAGGCCTCCCTGGGCAGGCGGTCGCCGCCGCCGCCGCCGTGGTCGTCGCCGTCAGGAGTGGCTCGGGGTCGGCGGCGAGCGAGTGGGAGGAACCGAGAAAGAGAAGGCCCTCTAAGACTGCGGCCCCCGAGGAACGCCGAGGGCCGCCTCTGACGAGGGGCCGCGCACCCACCGGTGCCACAGAAACGAGTAGGAGACCCTCAGGCACAGCCTCGCTTTGTCGGCGAGCGAGGGCGGGGGAAGGGAGAGGGAGAGGGCCCTCTCAGAAGGCGGCGGGATTTCTCAGGAGCCCTCGCGCCTTCCGAGAGGCTGTCTGCGTCTTCGGGGAAGGCGGCAGAAGCTGCTCAGAAGGCCGGGGGGGGCTTCCGAGCCTTCTGGGAAGGCCCGCCCTCGCTCGCTTCCCCATCTCGCTCGCAGCCGAGCAGGGACAGGTAGGGCGATGGAGGTGTTGCCCAGGGAGCCAGGAGCGGAGGAGTGTGGAGAACCTCAGGCGGGCAAAGGAAGGGAGACGGTCTAGCAATCGATGATGTGCAGGAGGCGAGAGGGGCTATGCGAAGGAGGACCCGATCCCCCCTGGGGCGACGACGACCTCGCGAAGACGAGTACAGGCTGTCGGGAAGTAGGAGAACACATCAAGTAGGATGGCGGCTAAAGCAGACTGAGTTTGAGCCCACCGCCGAAAGGAGGACAGCGATAGGAGAGGCCACGTCGATGTCGAAATACAAGGCGCTTGAAGAAAACTGGGGGCCTGGGAATCAAATACACACTGGCCAAAAAATGATTGCTTGCATGGAGGATTTCAGATTGAAGATTCCCCCTTCGGCACGGGGAATCCTGCACAACGCACACCGTTCCATGGTGGACAGTGGGCGTTCGCGTGGGGAGGCAAGGTCCGTACACAAGACTCTTCTCAAACGGGCGGAGGAATGCGGAAGTGGCACAAATGCAGCGGGGAAAGAAGCGAACATCCTCCGTGCATACAAGGGGGGCGTGGCGCCATCGTTGGGAATTCGTTTCGCGGCGATCGTTTTTCCACACTCGCTGCTCGTCTCCATGTGACGTCCGAGTAAAGGTATCATCATTGCTAGCAACATGGCGCGTTTCGCACGCACTCAAGTTCTAGCTGGCTTGGGCGCCAGGACATAGCGCGGAAGAAAGACCGTGCCATGATAGTGCGGAACCACAAGGGGGAGGTGGCGTCTGAGGACGATATTGGGGCTGTAGACGCTCTCTGGCCTCACTTATGGAAGCCGTGGAGTTACTTCCGCTGAAACATGAATCAATAATCATAATGAAAATAATTATGAAAATAATAATGATAATAGTAATGATAATACTAGTACTAGGAATAATAATAGAAATAATAATAATAATACT